TATGCAGCAAATTTCAATCAACCATTCCACTTCTCATTGCCTTCCGGCAACAAGAGGTTGGATGCATAAAAATGGTGACTCTAAGAGTGAGGCACTGCAACACTAGAATCTTCCTACAGGAAAGGAACACTGCACTGAAGTAGACGGGTGTTTCCTTACCCATACACAGGTAGATTGCTTTTTGTGCTTGGATCCGTTGAGAATTCTTTAGTTTTCGATTTTGACCTGACAAAGGCACCTCATGAGTCAGCCTTGGACCGTGTTCGTTCCGTTTTACACACGCCACCATCAGGAGGCGCGCCTCACTCTTCAACAAAACGGAACAGCTTTGATGTAAAGGCCACACTGGTCTGATTTCAGGCCATCTTGGTCATCATGCGGTGTGCTTGTCTGAGTATGCGGAAGCATTTGACCACTCTCCTGACCTCACACCGTTCTTTGCGAAACCACCGAGGCGATATGTTGACCCGCAGCACGCGCATCGACACGCAGCAGCTCATGGCGGTTCCAAGCAACACACTGACAACCCACATGCGGGTCACCCACACGCGGGTCACCCACACGCGGGTCACCCACACGCGGGTCACCCACACGCGGGTCACCCACATGCGGGTCACCCACATGCGGGTCACCCACATTTGAATCATGCACATCCACATCAAGGCAGAATTGCCCATCCAGCCCTTGGTCATAAGTCCAGCTTCGGAGAAGCAAATGGACATGCCATGTCTTCGACCGAAAGTGTGCATGCACATGGAGCTTCTTCGGGGCATCATTTGAGATGACACGCTCGAAGGAAAGGAATGCTAATGCATGCGTTCTGATATTTTTCCCTTCTGGATGACCTGGAAGTGCTTCATTTCATGCGTGGAGGTGGATTAGACTTGATTTGGTGTCACCAAAAAGAAACGCTGCCAGTAGCCTATTTCTTGTTGTCCAGTAAATTTTGCAGAAACAAAGTAGCCACACGGGAATGCAGACATTGAACTCCGGGGACAATTCCGCTCAAGCTGATGTAGTCGCCGAAGATTGACAGGTGGTTTGCAGCAGTCTTTCTCCACCAATCCATGCATGTGCAATCGAATCGGACAATGCATTTTGACTTACACCCGTATCAGTTGCTCATTACATTTTCCACCACCAGGGCAGTTGAGTCAGAGCTTTGTCAAGTTCTCTCTAGCAGAAAGTGACTCCTCAGAGTGATGCAGAGTTGCTAGCATCGTGTCCCCTTTCTGTGCCATGGAGCGATGCTGGCGAGGCGATGTTGTTTGTTTTTTCTGTTTTGGCGGGCCAGTGATGACTTGGCCTTGGGGCAGGTGAGGGAAGCGATGAAGGGGAAGGGAGATTGTTTGTCGTGAAGAGACATCGGAACATTCTTTGGAAGATCAGGTGCATTCGATGTTGCTGTTTTCGACGATGGCGCAGCTGTGGGAGACTTCCCTCGTTAGCTGGGAGCCAAGAGTCTTTTTGATTGTTGACAAGGATTTGACATGAACACCTGAATGAGACTGCCTGCTATGAACACGTTCTGTTGCTTTGTTGCCTTCTCTTTCTACTGGAATCCCGAGGGTGGCTTGGAAGGAGATGCCGGAAGCGAATTGGCCGAGGCATTCTTGTTCTCCCGCGCCGCGGTCCCCACCGTGGTGCTCAAGTAAGTGTTAGTGTTCCTAAAAATCTAGGAATAGTGCCAGCGCTTCTTCAAGGAAGCTCCCCCCGCCCTCGCTTCCTTGAAGAAGCATGAGCTATCCTGCGTCCAGTTAGAGGCTAACAGTAGCTCACTCCTCCCTTACAGTACTTAATTAAGTAGGTGCCTACTTAATTATGGAGGCGGGCAAAAAATCCACATTAAAAGAAAAGACAACTTTTTGGAACCATAGGATTAGGTCCATGGGTCCAATACCACTGCGTATCAAGGGGTGCATTGCATGCACTAGCGCGAAAGGAACATTCCGTTGCGCCAGTCGTGTTACCATAGGATGGAGAATTAGCCTTGGGACATCCAGATTTTGGTTCCTTTTTCCCGAGAGCGTCTGCGAAGGGTTCTTCGTTAAAAAAACATCTGCAGAAGAACTACGTCTCATCTACATCTTCACATCTTCACCTCTGCACATCCACATTCTCACCTGTATCTCTGCTCATCTTCACATCTACATTCACAACTGCACTTCTACATCTCTGCTCATCTTCACATCCTCACATCTACATCTCACATCTTTACCTCTCATCTACATCTCACATCTTCACCTCTCGCTCTTCTTAACTTTCTCTCTTAAGGCCGGGGGCAGTACCGCCGGAGCACCACGAAACGCAACCCTCTGCGGAGATCGTGCATGTCGAGCGAACGAAATGCAGGCGAGAGTGCGATTTGTTCCTGTCCGTCGCGACCCTCTGCGGAGATCGTGCGTGTCGAGTGCGCGAAATGCAGGCGAGAGTGCGATTTGGTTTTGTCGCGGGCAACCCTCCGCGGAGATCGTGCGCGTCGAGGGCGCGAAGCGCAGGATTTGTACCGGTCGCGGGGAACCCTCTGCGGAGATTGTGCGTGTCCGATGCGCGAAGTGCAGGCGAGAGTGCGATTTGTCCCGGTCCGGCGCAACCCTCTGCGGAGATCGTGCGTGTCGACTTTGTAGTACAACTTTAGTGCGCGGAGCAATCTGTGGAGCTGGAAGCTGAGAACTGGCGACTTTGTAGTACAACTTGAGTACGCGGAGTATCTGGGGAGCTGGAAGATGAGAACTGGCGACTTTCGAACACGACTTTAGTACGCGGAGTATTGGGGAGCTGGAAGATGAGAACTAGCAACTTTGTAGTACAACTTTCGAACGCGGAGCACTCTGTGGAGCTGGAAGCTGAGCACTGGTGACTTTGTAGTACAAGTTTAGT